TCTATTCATCCATCATCCGCCGTGATGAATGGACAAGATGTGCTGCTTCTCTACGACCAGACAACCGAAGCTGGAGATTCGGTGGAGACTCTTCCTGAAAGCGTTCTCTCAGATTCGTAATTCGGTGTCGAATCAGAGGGTCCAGACTGCAAACTGATCTCATTGGACCGGCTCTTCTCCTCCGAGACACCGACAGTCCACCCGAAAGTGTCGGAGCTCACTAACGTCATGTCTCGCAATCGGGAGCTCTGATTGCGTATGGCTCCCGAGACCCACCGCTGGAATAGCCGACTGACCGGTACCCGTCGCTGAGCCGACCCACCGGTTGACGGGAGGACGGACGGCTTTGAGGAAGGTTGCACTTCGTTGGCTGTGTGCCTAGCCTCCCGGCTGCAAGACGAGACGATGGATTGCTCCGCATTGATCCATCAAAGGCATTTTGGTTCGATATTCGTCCTCTACCACCTCAGCGACTTCAATGAAGAAATCTCTAGCGCCCAGCGTCCGGGAAGCGCCACCGCAGTCGCCACAAAAAAGGTTGCTTGTTAGCTATTAAGCCCACGCACTTGTCGTCGCAGTCACAGCCGTCAGCAACTCCCACCCTGCGCGAACGTGTGCGTGGCTGCGTGCTCGCGAGAGTGCATGCCAGCCAGGCGGGCTTGAATGCGAGGACGAGAGGGTTTCGGACGCAAGAGGGAGCCGATCGGGAGATGAGGCTGTTCACGACCGCCACAACCTCTTCACTTCTTCCAGAGAGTCGAGTCGTCGGTCGCTTGCGAGCTCATACAACGCCGCTATCCAACTAGTTGGCTACGTACCTATGTAGCTGTTGAACCTACGGCATTTACACGACCCGAGGCCAATCAGAGACACCTTCCTAGACGGGGAAATGAATGCAGATGTTTCGGTCTCCCCCTACGCCCCACGGAGAGCTTCCCGGTTCAACGATCTCTGAAAATTCTCTTGCCTCCATGATATTTGATCACCATCAAACTGTCCGTGGAAAAGAGCTCCGAGAATTGTGCCCGTGAGAAACGTCGCTTTAGAGCGTTCAATATTCTCATGGAGTCGTATGTATCAAATATTGCGACGGCGCGGCGCTTCGAACTGGATGGGACACGGGACGTCTTGAAAACAGCGCGTTTGAAGAACGATCGAGACGAGGGAGAGAAGGGGGCAGGAGCATTTCGATGGTGTCAGATTGCGCTCGACATCTGCAGGGGTGAATATATTTGTCCGGAATGCGCTCTAGAGCTCCCCGACACAGGAGTTCAGCGTTATGCTTTGCTCTCCCGCTAGGAAGGACGGAATTTCGGGTAGCCATCCTTCGAGACGATGTCTCCTGGTACGGGAGGGCGTCATAATTTCAAATTGCAATAGTCGATATTCCTGGAATAATGAAAGGAGATATTATCGTCGGAGAATTCACGTATTTTTATCGAAGATCAGAACGTAGCACGGGCCTCACAGTTTTGTCCAATTAATCGACTCCTTGGTAATCGCAATAAACTCCTGGATCGAGAGAGCTTCGTCGCGGAAGAAAACTGGCCACACATTCCACTTCCGTACATGTATCTTCGATCGATGCTTATGAAAAATCAAACCGCGATTTCGGAGTCGAATCTGTCCTCCCTTGATTTGGCGCACCGCGGTCCTCGTCTATGGATCGGAACCCCAGAACTCCTCCTTGGGGAGCGCTCACGGAACGCGGTGATCCCTTGTCGGCGGAGTGGAAGCTCAGATGACACCAGTCAAAATCCTCGAGGGATTCCCACCCGCAGATGGACCCGATAATTCCTTCCGTGAAATGGATGAAGATGATTCCAGAGCAATTTCTTACTGAGAATCCCGGGAACCGTCCTGGAATCTGAGCGAAGGCCGTATTCTGGTGTCGCTTAGGAGCGATCGACAGCGACGTCTCAGTAAGCAAATTCGAAGCTTCTACTCCAGCTTCTTGCGTGGACGGAGATCTCAGCGTCGAGTCCCAGAACAATAATGAAGGTGTCTCTTGTAGCATCGACGAGCCATACTTCGCGAAATATGCTGCACTGCAACAGCGAGAGAGATACCCGTGAGAAAGTAGGAATGGGCATGTCCCGGGGTATTCGGGAGCCGCCTCCCGTCAACGATTCTGGAACGTTCGGGAATGCGAGTTTAAGGAGGGGGCTCGAGTTTAGAAGATCTCGGCACTGGCCCCCCGATCTGTAAGCGCGATTACTAGAAGTTTACTCGGTCAAGCGTCGAATGATCTCACCTCAGAGGTACCTCATCCGAGAGAAGATGACCGGAGGAAGCCCTGTGAAGCACCGGTGACTTTTCTCCTTCAGGGTATGGACGCTCTTCTGGAGAGCTGTAAATTGACCCGAGCCCTCATATCACGGCCAATCGAGAGGTTCCAGCTCTACACCATCTCGCAAACCTCAGTGTGCAAATCGCGTCAAAGTCCCGAATCGACCACACTGACTTGAACTCGAACGGGGCCACGCAAGCGACGCATGGGCGAGACCTCATCCTCCGGATCTCTCTCCCTCCTGGACTGTTTGTCACTCGTACCGGAGTCACTCGTGGAGAAAGCTGTGGACACGGAGTGGATCTCACTCGACCGTCAGCTCCGCGCTCGGCTGATACCGCACTCATTTCGAATAATTTTGATGCGCATGGAAAAATCATTCGCCTGGGATGCTCTCCGCAATTTTGCGCAACACATGCCGTGCTCCAAATTCACGAGTTCATGAATCGAGACGAAAATATCTGCGCTCCCATGCCTCTCCTTGGGGCGCATGAATCAGAGAATGCAAGAGCGCTCGGTCTTTGATGTTGCACCGCGGGATCGACCGACCGACATTCCCTCATTCCTTCGCACGCCCGCCCGCCGTCCGTCCACCTCTCTGCTGTATGCATGCATGTACATAGGCGTATATATTGAATTTAACAATTACGATGAATGCTGGGTCGTTGGCTCCCGAAAAATCTCCACGGATAGCCGATGGGGGAGTACTCGTCGTCTCCCCCACTGCATCAGATTCTCTCGTTCCCAGAGGAGTTCACAAGGAGTCGGCCACGGAAGCATATCGAACGGGAAAGGATTCTTGGGCGGGAAATAATGATTCGTCACCGTTCCCCCGTGATCATCCCGTTCCTCTCGATGCTGCAGATGAATTCTCAGTGGATATTCCGTCCGACTACGATGACGCGCATTTCTCTGCATCCCCTCATCCGCTGCGAGATTCGTTCGAAGACCGGCTGGATGACTGGCGCTTTTCCAGCGGAGAAAGGAATGAAGGAGAAAGAGGAAACTTGACGCAAACAAAGGACTTTGATGGCGGCGTCGTTGCTGCTGATGGCAAACCCTTCTTCTTCCGTCTCCGTAGTCGTCTTCTCCGTCGTTGCTGCCGCCCGCTGCCATCCTCGTCCGCGGAACAAACATTCGCGGAATTTGCCATCTTCGCATTTTCATCGAACGACTTTCGAGCAACGACAAAAACGAAAGCTAATCAATTTGCCGCCCCCGTCGCGCTCTTCTTCCATCGCCCAGGAAACCCCAAGCCCCAAAGCCTTTTCTTTCTCTCCCATTTTCATTCGAGCCCGCGCCCCCGCCTGTTCTTATTCAAATACCTCGCTTCGCGTGTTCGACGCGCCGTCGCCGCCGCCGCCTCCTCAGATCGCTTCTAACGGAAGGCTGAAGCCCTCGATCCGATGCCGTCGCATCCGTTCTCTTTAATTTTTTCCGATCTCGCTCAGTCCCGTGGCTCGCCAATTCTCCCTAGCTCGGTGTGAGGCTGATATAGTTTGAGAGTGGGGCACGGAACCTCCCGGAGACGGCCTACGTGGAAAAACCATCGAGTGAGCATCTATCGCCCCTCGTTAGGCAGCGGAGAGCGCGCGAAGGCTTCGATGCGTGTCCGGAAGAGCGCTATTCGCGCAGGTAGAGGGTCGCTCATTCATTCTTGATTGAATCACTGCGACCGGCTCTCAGACCGTGTGCATGTCCCGCGATTTGATCTCGCAGTGGCCGAAAATGGCCACAGGTAAGCGACGAAGCTCGCAGAGTAATTGAGTTAAACTCGGCTGAATTGAGACGGATGAAGGCTGCGCTCGAGACTGTTCCGACATATGTACGTCCGAAACTACTCCGGTCATCAGATATAGCAGCCGCATAATTATGATCGAGAATAAAATGATCGAAAATAGAGATAAGAGATAAACTCTACTGCGGGGGCCAGATCCCGATTCCGGTTTTCGGGGTCTCCCGGCCGCGTGGTGTCGGCGCCGTCCAGAGCTGTCAATCGAAAGCTGTCTGCCAGCTCAATTAGCCCACCCTCGATTAGTGGATCGCGATGCTTTCTCACCGGGTCAGTGATGTGTATGTACATATATCGTAGGTGACTCGCTGAGAATCAAATCGTCAACGGCAAGCCTCCGTGTCGGTTCATGCATGATTGGCAACGAAGTTGAATCGCAGCCGTTCTCAGCGAGTGGGAGTTGGCGTCTTTTCCAACCCGACGGATACTGACCTTGGCCTTCTCGGGGACGAAATGGCTGGAAGACCCGCACCGACGCCAAAAGCTAGAGGTGAGGGCGCTGGCAACGCAAAGGATGCGGCTATGGTCATATCGTGTCCGATATGCGCATTCTTCAAAGTGCTCTCCGGCAGCAGCGTACGCCCCGTGAATGCGTCTGCAGCTAAAGTTGCAAATGCGAAAAACGCTCTAGAGAAACCCGCCAGGCCCTCATCGGTTTCGCCCCCACGATCTAAGCTCGCTCCTACCGGAGCTGCTGGAGGAGGTAAATGGCGTGATTTCGAGGAAACTGTGAAATCGTCGTATCTGAAATCAAGCCGTACGAATCGAAAGGATATAGCGGATTTCGATGAGTCGAGCGAGCACGTTATTCCGGAGGGTCTGACCGACTTCATCGAAGATAAAGAGAGGAAAAAAATCGGAAAATCTGACTCGAGAATCCTGAGTCGAACGAACCGGCACAAACGAGTTGTATTCTGCACTGTATCAAATGCTCATTTTATTATTCGGTTCCTGCCGATGACATCCCCTTGCTGCAATGTATCATCGGAATAAAAAGCTCATATATAAAATAACAGCATCTGGGAATCGAAGCCTTCAGCTCACAGCTGATTGGGTAGGGGGTAATTCTGCGTGAAGGGCATTGCCACTCTGCCACCCACGTAGACGTATTGCGAATTATTCTACGCTGGTAATTCACTTCTTCTTCTGTTCTTCGGGTTTCTTCGGCTCCCCGGTCGACTCTATCTCTAGGGCTTCTGCTTTGAAATCCGAAGACATCCTCCTCGTGTAGAGGTTTCCATCAATATCCAAGCCGACATCGGGAGTCCGGCTATTACGGTGAGCCAGAGCCGTCTTCCGGACCTGCACAGATACGAACAATTTTGAAACTTGATGAATGCCCATCGAGACGGGGAGGGGTACGAGACGATAATGCTATGAATGTGCTTTGAATCGGCGGCCCGAGATTGCATCGGTCTTGCTCTCGCTGTTCCGGATTCAAGCTCGATTCCTCCGAATGAGGATCCATTCATGATCAGGCACCGTGGGCATCCGACCCCTCCATGGCTGTGATGATCCCACTCACCTCAGGATCCTGGATCCTGTCGAGGTCAACGTAGTCCAAGTCCATTGCTGAGAAGTGGCGGGTTTCGCTAGAGCTGTTTTCTTCGCACGAAGCTGCTTGCTGTGAGATGACTTGTTTACTGCGAGGTATTTTATACTTTCCTCGGAGGAGCTATCGGCCCTCACCTAGTGACGACGTTGTCGCTCACCCAACTGGCACTGACATTTCTTTCGAGCGTGCTGCGTAGCCGGCACCTGCATGCGCGTGTGCGTGTTTGTACGCGGAATGAGCTCAACATTGGTCTACCCAATAATACATGAGGGCCATGGGCTGGAACAACGCTGGGAAACAGCAAGCGACCCACACCGCCTGCGGGGCTATTGGTCAGATGCATGAGCGGTGATTAACAAGTCTGCGCCGTCGCTCTCAGTCAGTCAGGAAAGCTCTTACGTCGCTTCGAGTCGAAAACAAGCCACCAGAACAAAGACCGGCACTCGACGATGAAATGAGAGCCGGCAGATTGATCAAATCTCCGGAAAATCAAACACAAACAACTTCCTGGGGTAGCTACTCCGCGGATACCGTAAAGACCATTTATGATATGAGTCTGTATCTCTATATTTTCCTAAAATCCCCGCTATTCATCCTTGCGGAGCTGCGGGGTAACACATACACTCGTCTACGACTCGGCTCTCACCCGTCGAGAATAATGTTTGAGACTGGAACTTTGGACTTGGGAATCCGGACTGGAGCCGGCGATTTCTTTCTGAGATCCGAGCTCTCGAAAAATCGTCGTGACCATTTTTGAATCTCCATTGATGGATCGTCATTGTGAGGTTGTTGAATCAAAACTCGCTGACAGCCTGGAGCCGCTCGAGTTTTCCGATCAACTCACACCATAACCATTGCGGAGCTAGTCTCGTCTCGATTTCATAATGTATCGGAAGGATCTGGCACCGGCATGATCACCTGGGAATAACGCCGTGATTCTTCCCATACTACATTCGGATCCGAGTTCATTTCAGCACCTGTCACACATGTCGGTTTCAGCAGCCATCACCGTCGCTCGTGAGACCGCTCGCTTCTCATGTGCCACTACCTCGGTCCCTCTGAAGTTCTCCCGCTACTCGTGGAAGATGACGAATTTCCCAGTTTACGCATCGTAGCGAGATGCTCCGCCGGTTGCGTGCCGAATAATTGATTACTTCTCGATTATCTGCGCGTGTGACATCCGAAGGCAGAAATTTATTCGCGTCATCATCAGCGTCGCCGTTGCTGTCCTCATCAACGTCTAAAAGCAGTGCTCGCGAGGAATGTGTTGCGATGAATAATACTTCGCCTTTTCGGGACGAAGAGACCGGGCAGAATCCATTACTTGCTTAAGTTAATGGACAAATACACTCACTAGTGCACGCTAGCACGCACTCAGGGAGCGAGAGACTGAGAGAGAGCGCGAGTCGAAGCGGAGTGGCAACATGTCGAGGAGGCGCCTGAATTCCAGAAGACATGCCGCTCCATAACGAACGTTTCCAACATTCCGCAGGATTCCGTTCTCGGCCAATCAGTGCCGTTCGCTCATCCCAATGACGCTCTGGTTGGCCGCCGTGTCTGCGCACGGAGCTTCCGCGAATCAAGGCCTTGGGATAATGGGTGATCATCGAGCATGAATCTTTCCCTCTGCCCCATCTGATGGCGGTCTTGAGCGAATTCATGCTCATGAATAGTGGATGGATGAATTCAGTTCCATGAATCAGAATGTATGTACTCGGAATTTTTTATTCACTAATCTGAGCTCAAACTGTCATTGTCTGATGTTCGCTTGGAGGTGAGCTGGCATGTGGATGTTGCATCCTCCTCGGTAGGACTACCGTTCACTGCCGCTAATGTGATCACAGTAATCACTACGGCGTAGAGAAGAGAAATCTCTTTTGGAGCTCGTACGAATTCCTCATGGGATGTCGCTTGGAGTACGGATCTCCTTCGGACGATCCTTTTAGAGGAGAAGCGCTACCCCTCTCCAGGAAGCGATAGCGAACAAGTTATGAGCTCGAAATCATATGAGCGACGGGTGAACGACATTTGGAGTGCTCTCGACCGACAGTTTATGGTATCGAGTGACGGTGGTAGACGAAGCGTGCTGTTCCTTCGAAGTTGAGATGAGAATCTACTAGACGACTGGAGAGATAGAAAAAAACCAGGGGAACGGTCTAGTGAGCTTCAGTTGCAATGGCTTCTCCAAGAGTAGATGAATCCGCAAGGAGGGTTTGGGGTTCAGGAGGGCATGGGCTGATCTCCTACTCGGAAAAACATCAGGCGATTCGAAGTTTGGTACCTCCATTCATGCGCGTTCTTGAGCGAATGGGGGCAGGAGATGTAAGAATCTCCCGTCAAGCCGGACCAAAGCGATTCCCAACCGCACCGCATTCGGAGCGAGCTTCGTTTCGATCGTCGACCTCAACGAGGCATCACTGCCTCCGCCGACCATGGAGAATCCGCGAGACGACTCCCATATAATCACGTCCGCTGACACCTGATCAATGAACGAGTGATGCACGGCGGTCTCGATATTCAGATTTGATCATACCTAAGGTCTTTGAGTGAGAAATGGAACGCCTCCTTGACATGGTGATCGCCTAATCGTGGTTTGGTCGGTTTAAGAATTCTTACGAATCGGTAAAAAACTAGGTGACTGTAATGAGCCGAGCGAATAACAACGAGTCTGCTGCCGGCCAAAACAGAACGCACATTCCCCTGCGCGGGGCTGAATGGCGTTGTTGAGTTGTTTACCGTCGTGACTGCAACTCCGCAAATTATCGTGCGTAGCTATCTCCCCTTGTCTTCGTCGCCGCAAGGGTGCTCACCCCGTAAACAGGTGTGACTCAAGCATTTGTTTTGAAGCAGTAAAACAGCTTCTACTCATTGGGTCAGTGGGAAAGAGGAACCTTCTTCAAGGCTGCTGTCGTCTTGGGTCGCCCAGTCACTCGTTCGCGGGCGCGAAGGCTCATCGAATACATCGACTTTCAACGCACGGCAAGACAGAGGAGAGGAAAAAAGGGAATATTGACACTCATCAACTTTGTCAAATGCGTCTTCGCGTGACGCGTTTCCTCGCTGTGAGTGACGTTCTCACGGAAGGTGACGTCTCCGGGACCGCGCAAGGATGCGTCGGAGTTCTTTTCCCTCCTTTCGCCAACGCTCTTTTATTCAAGTTCAGATCCCTCCCCTGTGTTCGACGGAATCTTCCTTGTTTTCCTCTCTCAGGTTCCGGATGTACACAAGCGCTAGCTGTAGAGCTACGAATAGAGAATTTCGTCGAAACTCTATTTTTACCCGTCTCTGGTCATTATCGTCGAATACTATAGGGGAAGTTTTAATGCGCTCCGACTCGGAGTTACTTGAGACTCTTGGAGGCTCTAGGGTCTGCACAACACAATTTCCTCCTCAATTCGGCGAATTCCATGGGAAATTGGCCGCGAGCTCGAATGCTTCTCTGACGCTCCCCCACTGGACTATTGGATTCATTCGGTCGGCGCGAGACATTTCCACAGAGGGTTATCTTATTCATAGACATCGATCGTTCTCGCCACGATCTTCCAGATGAAGAGATTGGCTCGCGGCGTTCCTGCAGTCGTTGCTGGGTGAATCTTCGACTCAGACTCGGCCCTACGCAGAGGCTTTTTTTAATTATGGCGCTTCATTAAGAGTTTGCCTCTGTTCCAAGATAACACTCAAACACGAATCTGTTACGCTCTCCCAACGGTTCCAGTCGTCCGTCGGTCGGTCGATCGAGCGAACGGCACGGTCTCTGCGGACGCAAAAATAACGCCGCCGATATCTGCGGTATCTGGCTCGTGGAACGAAGTCGCGGACCTCTGTCACTCCGAGCATGCGATTCGGAAAAATCCAGACCAGCACTAGCTTCGCAGACCGGCGCGATACATCTCATCATTCGACGGGATCGGCTCGGGCTCTATGCTGCAACGGAATCGTATCATGAAATGAATACATGCACATGTGATGAATGAGCATATGAGCTGAGTCAGTTTGTGTCCGGAGTCTCGTTCCTCGGGATTCAGACGACTCGAAAGCCCTCGAAAAGTGAGTCAGACCCCGCGAAATTTCGGGTGGGGCGAGCATTGTTGTTAACAAAATTTTAGTGAGTGTAAAGGGGATTTGTCGTGTAGAGAAAGTTGGAATGAATGAGTACTCCAAGTTCTGAACAATGCCCGTATTCGCCGCGGGCGCTGAAATAGATGATGATGAAGAGCAAAGTTTGTAATCCTGTTTCCTAAGCTTGGATTTCTGCAGCTCATCGGCGACCGTGTTCGGTGTTTACAGCGTGTATGGCATGAACGTCAGCTCGTTATTTCCTCTGTCTGCTTCTTTCGATAATAAGGAGGGATCATGAAAAATCGCTCTCATTGAATTTTCGAAGTTCCCTCCGCCTCCCCCGCGATATCGTGGGAGGAACGTCTGGCGTGGATATGACCCTTCGTCATCCATGCTTTTGTAACGAGAGCTTTATTCTTGTGTTTCCCCCTCGACCCATCGAGATCGAGACACCGTGCATTCGCTCATTTGAGTGCCTACAACGGGGTGGGAAGAAGATTTGTTCTTGAAGAATTCCCGACTCAGACCCTGAACAAGAACCGAGTCATCCGTCTTCTCGCCGTCCGTCTGTGAACTTGTCGTCCAGCTCGTTTGATCAAAGCTCGTTATGTAACGATTCTTCTGGTGTTTTTACAGAGCGTCTCGAGTCGCGAGTCAACAAAGTCGGCTGAATACACTCCACGAAGTCGGCAAGGCGCATGTCAAAAACATATGCGCTCGTTTTTTGCACGTGGCCGCAGTTCATCAGCGAGGGCATACTGCATGCTCGCTGGCAACTCCAAGTTTTTTATTTCTAGAGCGGACTCAGAGACTCGCTCTCGACCGTCATCAGGCAGTTGTCAGAAGATATACATATTTCGCCAGCTATAACGAGTGCTTTGTTCTTGAAAGAATACTGCCACCGAGTTGTTCACCAGGTAAAAATTCCACCTGTTCGCGGAGGTCGAGAGCTGGTTCTCGGCGGAACAACATACATGCCAATCAGAAGGAATCACCTTATAGCTCGCTCAGAAC